CACCCCCCCCACACAATATACCCCCAACACACCACTTATATCCAACAGCCCATATACCATACCCCCCAATCCACCAGACACCCCACAACCCACACATACCCCACGCTCCAAACCGCACATCTAGCACACCACACACACCACATTCCCCAACACGCCACACCCCAACACACCATACACCCCAATCCACCCCACACCCTAACACACCACAGACCCCCCAATCCACCCCCCCACAGTTCACACACACAGTACACACCACCCCCAACACACCCCCACCCACCAGCCCACATACCCCCAAATCTACCCCACACCTCAACATACCACATAGCCACCACACTACACACCCACCACCCCACACCGCACCCATACTCCACGCCCCAAACCACCACATATCTAGCACACCATACACCCCACACTCCCCAACACACCATATACCCAATCTACCCCGCACCCTAACATACCACCCCCAACATCTACCCCACACCACATCCCAATATACCATATACCCCACACACTACATCCACCCACATCACTACACACCCCAACATACCACACACCATACACCACATACCTCCAATCCACACCACACAGCACATACCCCACAGTCCACCCCACACACCCACTCACATAATATACCGCAATCTATCACATGGCACACACCACCACCCACATCACTACACACCCCAACAGACCACACACCATACACCATATACCCCCCAATCCACAACGCCCCAACATATCTCACACACACCACACACCCCACAGTACACTCAACACACCCCAACACACATCCAACACCCCACAACCCAATACCACTCTACACATACCCCACATACCAACACCCCCACCCAATACACCCACACAGTCCATATACATCTCACCCCCAAATACACCCTACTCCCACCACCACAAACACCCAGGACCAAACACACCACACACACCCCATACACCCCACACCCAACACGTTCCACGTAATACCTCGCATCCAGCACCACTCCCAACACCCAACCTACACACACTCCACACCCCACTCCCCCAATGCACCAACACAACCCACACCCACTCATGGCTTCCAGGTACGAGCTGACGCCGGACGGACGCCCCGGGGGCTGATGCCAACACCGCTTCTCTACGCATCTCCACGTCCTTGCAGCCGTGGTGAGGGCTTGGCGTCTGAGCAGGCTCTGGAGGCTCCATGCGATGCTGCTGCGTGCTAACTCACGCCTGTGCCCCCGGCCTCCGCACCCAAGGACCACCAGCCTCCGTCCGATGTCCCTCGCACCGTGGCCCTCATCACGCAGGGTCTCCTGCCATTTCCTGAGTGCAGTCACCTCTTCCACTAAGCTGGTCTGGCCTCAGTTTCTACTGCGGACCGTGGCTGCGCAGCCGTCTGTTACACCCGTGCAGCCATAGGATGGGGGGCACCAGCTGCACGTTCCCACCCACACGTGTGCCCTGTGCAAGGACGCTGCGGGACAGAGGTCGCGGCTCTCCCGCCTCCTCCCACCGCACAAGGCCTCGAGAAGAATGGAATAGGGCCAGTGAAATCACAGGCCTGGTTGTGGCGATGGTGTGGCCAGCCTGTGGGAAGCCGAGCGCTCCTGCCCAGTGGCTGCGGGGCCTTGCCCACACCTGCACCCTTGGGCCCTAAGGGCTGCCACCACAAGCAGGCACTCAGCACCCACGCCGAGGTCTAGTGCTACAAACAGCCACACGACCAATTCCAGCAAGGAGGGAAAGGCAGGCGCCACGCGTGGGCAGCACGTGGCGCGGGAGCCAGGGCATGAACCCCTGGCCAACAACAGCAAACGAGCGCCTGAACACATGACGCACTTTGACTTGGGGTTTTGGCCCCATGGCCTGGCTGGTGGGACGCGCACTCACTTGATGGACAGGACAAGGGCTCGGTGCGCACACTGCCCGTGACAGGACCACACCAGTCGCCCCTACGCCACCTGCCCGGCCCGCCCCATGAACGCACATCCTCTCCTCAGGCTCTGACAGGCCCCGCAGGGAGGTGCTCACCTCGCTCTCTCCATCTTGTTCTCCTCCCTTAGCCATGTGGGCATTGACTTCTGGAGCTGATTACAATTGTCCTGTGTGCTCACCTGTGCATATATACTCACCCACAGTGCACACACAAATATCACTGTAACCAAAGAAACCAAGAGCCGAGAGGTGACGTGAATGACGGGAGAGAGAGACAGCCTCAGACCGGGGTGGAGGGAGGAAGGAGGCCAGGCTGGTTTATTTGCACATGACACATCATCTCAGAAGGGGGTGACTGGTGGGAGACACTGGCGCGTAGACGCAGAACTCCATCCCACCCCCCACACCACTGATGGATGCCAATAAAAAATAGTTTAAAAAGATAACTGACAGGGCTGGGCGTGGGGCTGAGTGGTAGAGTGATCGCCTCGCATGCATGAAGCTCTGGGTTCAATTCCTCAGTACCACAGACAAAGAAAAAGCCGGAAATGGAGCAGTGGCTCAAGTGGTAGAGTGCTAGCCTTGAGCAAAAGCAGCTCAGGGACAGCACCCAAGCCCTGAGTTCAAGGCCCAGGACTGGCAAAAACAACTTGCAAATGACTTCAGAGACCATCTATAAAGACTCATAGCTGCTGCAAAGGCAGATGTCCTATACGTTTCCTTAATAATCAGAATAAACGCCGCACTACAGCACCAGCTTGGGCTATACTAACATACATGGGTGGAACCAGTTTGGAAGATTGGTTGCACACAACATCACGGTGTCACCTGCCTGTGTTTGATCTCCAGCTAAAACAACACAAACACTTAAGAACTTTTCAAGTTGCAAAAACAATCCAAGAAAGCCTACACATTGTCAGACTTCACAAGTTATTTCTAGGGGCTGGGAAGGTGGCTCAGTGAAACGGTGCTTGCCTCACATGCATGAGGCCCTGGGTTCCATTCCTCAGCATCACATGAGCAGAAAAAGCCAGAAGTGGCGCTGTGGCTCAAGTGGTAGAGCGTCCTCACCTTGAGCAGAAGAGCTGAGGAACAGCGCCCAGGCCCAGAGTTCACGCCCATGACCGGGAAAAAAATTTTTTTTTTCTAAATCTCCCGTTAGCTAGGATGACATAAGAAACCAACATATACCCTCCACCTATGAGAGCCAAACCCTTGATCAACACCAAAGCCTGACAATGCACACGGCAGTGCTTAAGACACGGGACGATGCCAACAGCAGAACGTGCCACTGTGGTGTATGTAGCCATGGTATGAAACAGCCCCGATGCTCGAGAGTGCACGAGCGGACCAAGGCACTGCGGTACATATTCACAAAGGAATTTCACTCGTCTTTCAGAAAATATCACATCATTTTCAGGGAAATGGATGTTGGACCCAGAAAGATTAGGTGAAGCAAGTGAGGCTCAGAGACAGATGGCGCATAGTCTCTCATATGTGGCAGTTAGATCTAATATACAAGTATGCATGATACATATGGGGCTCTACGCATGTACACAGAAACAGATTAACTAAAGGATGGTACACTTAGGAGTCCAAGGGTGCAACTCCCTTGAACAACCAAAGAACCATTTAACAAAATGGACTTCAGAAAGCAGAAATACATTTGGGGGGGCGGGGAAGGAAGAGGGAACAAATGCAGTCATTATACTCGGTGAACACTATGCACACTGCTTACAGATGCAAATGCAACTGTGTAACTTGAGGGATGGGACATTCACCAAGATGGATTGCACTCACCTGACTTCACCTGAAACCCCTTTGTACGACTCAGTAATAATAAATATATATTAAACCACCACACAGGCATGCAGCAGAAAACTAAGAAAATAATGAATCAAGCAATGACATGTAAAAAACTCAAAATAGGGCTGGGAAGGTAGATCAGTGGTAGAGTGCTTGCCTTGCATGCATGAGGCCCTGGAAAAAGCCCGAAGTGATGCAGTGGTTCAAGTGGTAGAGCACTAGTCTTGAGCTGAAGAGCTGAGGGACAGTGCCCAGGCCCAGAGTTCAGACCCCACGAAAAACAAAAATAAATCGTGCCCAAAAGTTGTAAGTAAAAAAGAAGATACGTGATTCCATTGATATAAAATCTATAAAGTGAAATTAATCTACGGATGGAAAGCAGAAGAGAATAGTGAAGGACTGGAAGTTAGAAAGCTTGGACAGAGAAGTATGTCTATTGATTGTTGCAATGAATTTATAGGCAAATGTTTATCAGACTTTTATCTAATTGCATATGCTTTATATATGATTTACATGTCTGTTAGGCATCAAAACGTTGTTTCTAAATTAATTCATAGGCCAGGCAGGCATATAGATGCATGCCTTCAATCCCAGCAATTTCGACAATAAAAATAGGCATATCAGTCCAAGGCCATCTTTGGCAAAAACATGAGACTGGATCTGAAAACACTACGCAAAAGGTGGGGGCATTGTTCAAGTGGCAGAGTGCCTGCCAGAGAAGTGTGACCTCTTACCTCTGCCTCCAGTGAACGGGGGTTCCAGGGGTGCAGGCCACTCCCAGCTTCCAAACCCAGTTTGTACCCAACAACCCTCAGCATAGGTTCTTCTGCGACGAGGCCTCCTGCTTAGAAGCGCAGCTGCAAGTTAACAGAAGCACGATGCTTAAGTTAGAAGGGATGGAAGACGCTGTCTTCCACCTGCCCCAGCAGCACACCCGCAGGCTTGTCTGCTGCCACTGACTTCCCAGCCCACCACAACACTCCTCGGAAATGCTTACCACATCCTAGCAGCGATGATGAGAACTCAAACCCAGCCTGCTGGGTCCGGGAGGAGCACAAGGCGGCCCTGCAGTGGCTCTCGTGGACGTAGCGTGCGGCCCCGGCTGGGGTGGGGGTGGGGGCTGGCTGCTGGCGTGGAGAAGCGGGAAGAGGGGAGGACAGCGCGGTGGACGCCGGGCCGGCTGGGGCAGGGCGGGGGGGTGCGGGGGGTCTTGACCTTCGCTGTGAGTAGTGCAAATAAGTCACCCAGCGCTCAGGTTTGGAAAGTCTTTACACAATTTTTATTTGAAATCTTATATCCTTATAAAACTAATTACAACAAGATTGCCAACTGGACACTTTCTCAGCAAAATCTCTCTCTCTCTCTTACCCTGGGATCCATGATCCTGCCCTAACACAAAGAACACACTTCCTTCTTTCTCTTTCTTCCTTTCCTCCCTCCTGCTCTGAATGGGGAGCTGCTCTAAAGAATATCTTGACACGGGTGCCAGGAGCGCAGAGGCCCTTCTGGCTGGGATTCCTCTTGCCTGATCCAAAGGCCATTAAGCCCTGAACTTAAATCCAACTTTTCTGTCATCTGCAATCTCTCTCTCCCTGGGTCTCACACACAAACTACTTTAAAATGACCACAAACTGTAAAGCACTCAAGAATTGTTTAAGAAATGATTACAGGATCTAATAAATTACTTCAATATTTCAATAACTTAGCAGCTATTTTCTGTAGAAGAATTGTAAGGCTAATTTTAAAAAAAAACACATAATATGGTGAAGAATGACCCAAATACTAAGAAAAGGATGAATTCTGGAGACTAATACATTTTAGAACTCTTGTCTTAAAATAAGACCAGTTCTGTAATGCTTAGAAGGTTAGGAATACAATTTACACAGTAAAAATGATTTGGTTTGTTTTCAGTATGAAAGTACTTTTAATTTCCTTATTGCAGGTACAATGGCATCCAAGTCATCAATTTCTGTAACAGAAAAACAAGAATAAAGAACAGTAACTTGATAGTGAAAGCTTCCAGCACACAAGGTGGTGACGGCACGGTTTGGGGCACACGGGGCTCTTGTCTGACCGGGGCTGCGTGTGAGCCCACCTCGGCTCAGAGCCCCTCGGGGTGTCTGGTCCAGCACCCTCAGCAGTGCGTGGTGGCACCACCTGGCATGGCCACCTGTCTCATGTGAGGCCCGTGCCCTGAGGCGCGCCCCACGGGAGGTCCCCACTGGCCTAAAACGCGTGAGCCATGCTGCCGCGCTGCCTTTAGCTTCGGTCAGAACTCGCCTGTCTGAACTCACCACAAAATATCCCGATGCGGGAGAAGGGAGGGTTTGGTTCTTATCTTTGATCGTGGAAGGGATACTCGTTATTCCTGGTCCCCCGACTTCTGTTCCTCACTAGGTAAGGAAACTGCCTTCTAAAAGAACCTCACAGAGACCTCGCTGACCTGGGGGTTTTCTCAGCCAACCACACCACTGACATGAAAAAGAAATATAATACACAACCTAGATCCATACCTGGCTGACAACCAGATATTGTCAATAATATAGTATGTCAATAATATGTTGTCAATAATGTTGTTGCCAATAATATAGTATGTTTTGTTAAACAGTAACTTTCCCAATGTTTATTTTTTGCCTTTCCTTATTTAGTGCCTGTCCTGGGGCTTAAACTCTGAGCCTGAGTACTGTCACACCTCCACTTCTAGTTTTTAGGTGGTTAACTGGAGATAAAGAGTGTCATACACTTTCCTGTCTGGGCTGGCTTTGAACTGAGATCCTTAGATCTCAGCCTCCTGGGTAGCTAGGATGACAGGCGTGAGCCACCAGCGCCTGGCAAAATGTTCACTATTGAAGCATGCAGTCTACTGACCACAGATCCAGTCAATGATCATCACAAGGAGCAGAACCCTGCTTTCCCTCTGCGGACAGGACTCAGACACCTGGCACCTGGAGCCCACAAAAGCAACCACAGAGCCCCTCAGTTCCCTGGCTACAGACAACGCTTGGAGCTCCTCTGTGTTCTTATTTTCAACCAAGGTCAACTTAAGCCTCCCACTATCTGCCTACCAGGCATCCTTTCCTTTTTTCAAAAGTTGAGGGCTGACTCGTTTATGTACACACACATCTTCCAATGAGCACTGCACAGAGCGACTCAGGGCTGGGGCTACAGCTCATAGTGGAGTGTTTGCCTACACACAGGCCTCAGGTTCCATCCCTAGAACCAATAAACATGCAGACATGCATGCGTGCACACACACAGAATTGATCTTAATAAAACACATTAATTTTATAGCCACAAGAAATTACATTTAAATAAGAAAGCACCTCTCTCTGGCCTCAGATTCCCGCAGGAGACGCTTCGCCCAGGGCACAGGGCTTCCCCTACCACTTTTTTTTTTTTTGGGGGGGGGGTCAGGTTGTGGGGCCTGAACTCTGGGCCTGGGCGCTGTCCCTCAGCTCTTCAGCTCAAGGCTAGCGCTCTACCACTTGAACTACAGCACCACTTATGGTTTTCTAGTGGTTTATTGAAGAGTCTCATGGACTTTCCTGCCTGGGCTGGCTCTGAACTGCGAGCTTCAGATCTCAGCCTCCTGAGTAGCTAAGATGACAGGCGTGAGCCACCAGTGCCTGGCCCCCACCACTTCTTACACCACAGAGACAGGGCCTGACAGAGTAATGCCATTCCAATGGAAAGTTCCAGACAAGGCAGCCCCTGACTATGAACTCTCACACCAAGTCTGGGTGAAAACAGCGGCCCGGGTAGTGAAGGTGCGCCCCTCTCAGAAACCCATGCACGCACATCCTAAGATGTCAGCCACAGCCAGTGGAGTCTTACCTAAGACTTGTAGTAGATCATTAATAAAAGCCTGAAATGCCGGGAAAAATTCCTCATGTTCTTCCAACTTGCTGATAATGCTGTTTAAGAAATGCACCGTTTACACCACGTTTCCCACTGAGGGTCCCCGTGCCCCCCTGCAGTGATGTGGCTGCAGACACTGCCCCAGCAAAGACACGGCTGCCACGAAACACAGCCCAGAGCCGCCGCTGCAAGCTCTGCTCACCTCCTCAACACCTGCTCTCATCTTTTGGGGATCAGTCTAAATGTCTTTTAAAATGCCTTAAAGACTTTTTTTTTCCCAGTCATGGGTCTTGATCTCTGGGCCGGGGCGCTGTCCCTCAGCCCTTCGGCCCAAGGCAAGCGCTCTACCCCTTGAGCCACAGCACCACTTCCGGTTTTCTGAGTGGTTCACTGGAGATCAGTCTCTTACGGATTTTCCTGCCCTGGCTGGCTCTGAACCGTGATCCTTAAATCTCAGCCTCCTGAGTAGCCAGGATGACAGGCGTGAGCCACTGGTGACCAGCCTAGATTTTTTCTTTAAACACCTACTGTTATGTTAGTGAAGCCTAACCCTCACCCCGAAAACCCTTTCCCATTTGCCTCCTATCAAATAATTAACAAACATCCACAGTAATGGCTCCTGGCCTCAAGACAGTCTGCAGGATGTATGTGGACTCCCTGGCCATCTCCCGTGCACTTGGGTTTACCATCTATTTTCTTTTCTTTTGGTTGGTCGTGGAGCTTGAACTCTGGGCCTGGGCGCTGTCACTCAGTTCTTCAGCTCAAGGCGAGCACTCTACCATTTGAGCCACAGCGCCACTTCTGGTTTTTGTGGTGGTTCACTGGAGATCAGAGTCTCACGGACTTTCCTGCCCGGACTAACTTTGAGCCGTGATCCTTAGATCTCAGCCTCCTTGAGTAGCTAGGATGGCAGGCATGAGCCACCGGTGCCTGGCTTACCATCTATTTTCATCTTCAATATGCTGGCACTTTCTCCATCCATAAGAGCTGGCGTTATTTAAAGCGTGCCATTCCGAACAGGAAAGGTAAAGTAACATAGGAGGAGTTTGCAGGACTTTAACTATGCTACTTCAAGAGTGGTGGATGATTCTTTTCTTTTTTTTGTTGGTCGTGGGGTCTGAACTCTGGGCCTGGGCGCTGTCCCTCAGCTCTTCAGCTCAAGGCTAGCGCTCTACCACTGGAGCCACAGCACTTTGTCTGTTTATGTGGTGCTGAGGAATGGAACCCAGGCCTCGTGCATGCCAGGTGAGCGCTCTACCCCTGCGCCCCCCCCCCCAGCCCTGGGTGGTTCTTTTCAAATGGTACCTTTGGAGGTCTTCAGGTCCTAGCACGCGCTTCACCTGCTCCTTCACGTCCTCGTGCAGCAGCCTGCACAGCCTGCCCACCGTGCTCACCAGCACGCACAGCGAAGACGAGCTGTCTGTAGGGGAGGAGCACTGGGCGGTGAGCACGCAGCTCTGCTGCGTGTGCACACCCCTGCTCCTCAGAAGGCCTTGTCCAGAAGGACGCCTAAGTTTACTCGGAACCCCAAATCCCACAGGCTGATGAATAAGCCCAGGAACTCTGGATAGAGTGGGTTTGGGTCACAGCTAAGGAACAATGAGCTGAGAAAAACTCTCATTTTTTCTTTTGCGTATGCCAGTACTGGAGCTTGAACTCGGGCCTGGGTGCTGTCCCTGAGCTTTCTTTGCTCAAGGCTGGCATTCTACCACTTGAGCCAGAGCTCCACTTCTGACTTTTTGCTGGTTAATTGGAGATAGAAGTCTCATGGACTTTCCTGCCCAGGCTGACTTCAAACTCTGATTCTCAGATCTCCACCTCTTGAGTAGCTAGAATTATAGGTCTGAGTCATTGGCACCCAGCAAAAATTTTTCCTCTGGTAGGGTGGCCCACATCTGTAATCTTAACACTCAAGAGGCTGAGATAGAAGGATTATGAGTTTGAGGCCAGCCTGGGCTACACAGTGAGCTCCAGACCACCCTGAACACTGAGCAACACTTTTCCAAAAAAATAAAAATAAATAAATTACCCTTTGTTGACTCAAGGAGAGCAGTTTTCAAATGGGGACCGACAGGACAAAGGCCCTCACCTAAATTTAAGAGCTCCTGGAGGTTTCTCACAGCGTTGCTCATCTCCCCCAGCCTCGTGTACACTTCATTCATCCGCGGGTACACTCCGTTCAAGGACGGCACGTCGAACAGTTTTTGGAAGTGGGAGACAATAGCGTGCAGCATTTGAAGGTTCGGCATTTTGCTGTCCTGTTCAAAAGGGGGCAGAAAACGCTATGCACATGTGTGCACACCCCAAGACCTTGGCTCTCGTGGAGAAGAGCAGCCACAGGAGCCCCGAGTACCTGTCTGTCCTTATTCTCCACTTCCTCCAGCATGGTGTCCACCATGAGCAGCAGGTCCTCCACTCTGACACCTTCGTTCTCACTCTGCTTTCTGAAGTTGTGCCACGGGACCAGCTCTGCAGACAGCATCTTCAGGGTTTTGTACAAATCCTTTACGACAAAACACACTACATGGTATGATAAATACCCATTTTGACAGCTGGTCTCAACAGCAACACTAATACAACCCAGCAAGCCATGCAGGCTGGAGACAGAGATATGTAGCATCATCACCTTGGTGAGGGTTCTTAAAACTCTGTCAGCCTGACCTCCGGCTCTTGATCATCCTGGCCTCACCAGGTTGAGGCTGGATTGGCCTCAAACTGAGAACCTACTGATCTCTGACTCCCAAGTAGCTTGGATTACAGACATGACCACCATACCCAATGCAAATAAACATTATAAACACTAGAATTGAAAGATTAAAGATATGAGGGGAAAAAGCCTCTGCGTAGTACCATAAGGATACCTTTGTTACACAACCTTCTACCAACAGGTGCACTTATAAAATGATCTATGGTTAAAAAAAACCCAATTTTACAAATTTATGCTGGAGAATCAGAGTGTTACAAAGCTAGGCTAGAAGCACAGTTCAGCGTAGACTGCCTGAAGTATAAGGGGACTAGGTTCAACTCTCAGCACTGCAAAAATGACACAGAAGTATGTATGTACTCACATACATACACACATATATTCATAACACAATGTCCACTTAGTCCATTCCTTTTATGGCTGAATAATATTCCACTAAGAGTAGCCATTGTTTATACACTGTTGATGGGAATATAGTGTAGTACAGCCATTATTGGAAAATGATATGGTGGTTCCTCAAAAACCTAGGAACAGAACTCCTATTTGATCCAGCATTCTTCTATTAAGATAGATGCATCCAAATCAAATAAAGTTAACATGTCAAAGTGATTCCAGCACTCACACTTGTACTGTGGTATTATTTGCAATTGCTAATATATGCAATCAACCTTCGTGTCCAAGACAAACGAATGGACAAAGGAACTGTGTGTGGAGGGTATACAGTAGGTATTATTCAGCCATAGCAGATTAGAATTCTGTCATTTTGAGTCATGTAGATGGAAATAGAAGGCATTATGTTAAGTGAGATAAACCAAACTCCCAAAGACAAACACCACGTTTTTACTTAGAGATGAGAGCTAAAGAGTGACCTTCCTCCAGGGAGAATGGAGGGTGGCTTCCGGAGACTTGGAGGAACACTGGCAAGAAGAGACAGAAAGAGGGGGAGGAGCGGGGAGGGGGAAGGGGGACGAGAGGGGGGGGGGGGGGGATGGAGACAGTGGGAGCAGGCAGAATAAGGAAGGCTGACAACTCCGTGTTGTGTGCAGAACGGCTAGTCCCTAGAGAAGATGCTGACTGTTCCCAACTTCAATAAATTACAACGTGGGAGGTGGAGCACGCTGATGGCTCTGATCTGATGTGGCGCACTGTAAAATGTATTGAAATGCCAGACTGAGCCCGTGTGTACAGGTACACGTCAATAAAATAAAGCATAAATGTAGTAACATTCTATAATGTGTAAACGGCCCACCGCTTACGCACTCACTCTTCAAAACAATCCTCTTTTCAGTCAAACCCAACCTGAGAAAAATATGATCTTGGGCTGGGAAGGAGGCTCAGTGGCAGAGTGCTTGCCCTGCATGCCTGAGGCCCTGGGCTCAATTCCTCAGCCTCACACAAGCAGAAATGGCCAGATGTGGTGCTGTGGCTCAAGTGGTAGAGCGCTCGCCTTCAGCTGAAGAACCGAGGGACAGTGCCCAGGCCCTGAGTTCAAGCCCCATAACCGGATTTAAATAAAAAGAAAAGGAAAATATAATCTGGGGAAGATGGCCGTATCTAACCAGTTGCTACATTAGAGAGTCCTCCAAGACTCGTGTCTAGACTCTGCCAGGACGCAGAGTCTCTCACGTGGAGGGCAGAAGCACAAGCAGGCACTGCACTGGCTGCCCTGCGCATGCTCAGAGTATTCAGATCACACAGCAGACTCTGCCTCTCCTACACAGAAAACAATGTCAGCAAGAACCCACCGCCACTGCCCAGCACCTCTTGGGGAGAGGATCAGTGGAGCTGTGGCTCAAGTGGTAGAGCAGCAGCTTACACAAAAGAGCCAAGGAACTGCACCAGGGCCCTGAGTACAAACCCCAAGACATTCTTACACTTACACACACACCCACATACACCACAGCTTCTGCACAGCAAGAGACAATTACTGAGATGGCCTACAGATTGAAGAAAATCTTTGCTCATATTCATATGACAGGGGAATAATATCCAGATTATTCAATGAGGTCAAAAATTAATCACACAAAGACCAAATAATCCTTGCTGGGGGCCGGGGGCTCACGTCTGTCATCCTAACTACTCAGGAGGCTGAGATCCAAGGATCATGGTTGGAAGCCAGCCCAGGCAGGAAAGTGTCTGAGACGCTTATCTCCAATGAACCACCCCCAAACCAGAAGTGGTGCTGTGGTACAAAGTGGTAGAACACTAACCTTGAGCAAAAAAGCTCAGAGACATTGCCCAGGCCCGAGCTCAAGCCCCATAACCAACCTTAAACAAAAAAGGAATACAGACTAAATTCCAAATGAGATTGTAACTCACCCCATCAGAATGCAATCATAAACACAATTTAAAAAATGAGTGCGGCCCAGGACACAGGGCAAAGGGACTCTTAGCCTGTCACACACAGTGTGCAGCCACTAAGGAAACCAGTGTGGAGGGGCTCAGAAAACAGACTGCAGCCTCCATGAGCTTCTATACACTAGCCACGCTGCCTACAGCGTTCCCTGCAATGTGCAGGCCTAGAACCAGGCTGGGTGCCCAAGCCACACCCATGAGCAAAGAAAATGAGCTGTCTGTGAACTGTTAATCACCTGTAAAAAAAACTGAATTATGTCATTGTTCAAGAACACTGAAGCTGGGCACGGTGGCTCACACCTGTCATCCTAGCCACTCACGCAGGAGGCTGAGATCTGAGGATCAAGGTTCAAAGCCAGACCGGGCAGGAAAGGCCTTGAGACTCCTATCTCCAATAAACCACTCAGAAAACCGGAAGGGGCGCTGTGGCTCAAGTTGTAGAGCGCTCGCCTTGAGCTGAAGAGCTGAGGGACAGCGCCCAGGCACAGAGTTCAAGTTCAACAACCACCAAAAAAACCCAAAAAACTGATAAATTGGAGAACATTATGTTAAGTAAGCCAGACTCTGAAAGGTATCACACTTGACTTTCATATATAGAGTCTAGATTTTAAAAGTAATCACCCCCCCAAAAAAAAAGCCATGGAAATAAAATAGGAGTACTGGGAGAAGAGAATGGGGTAGGGGTTCAAGAGAAAGTGCTAAGAACTATCATCAAAGCTACATACAGATAGGAAAATGTCATAAACCTACTACTGTGCACAACGAATGCACACTAGATATAAAAGGAGCAAGGTTCCACTTTTGTTTCGTGGTACTGGGGATTGAACTCAGCGTCTCCAACTTGTCAAGCAAGCGGTCCACCACTGAGCCGCAGCTCACACCCCTTTTTGGCTCTAGTTTTGTTTTTAAATAGGGCATAGTGTGAGGCCAGCCTCACACTACAATCATCCTGTTTCAGCCTCTCAAGCAGCTAAGCTCACAGCTGTGCACCACCACCCTGACAGTTTCAGACAAGATCAGCAGCAGCAGCAGCCACCACGTTCTGCTAAGAAAAGCCACCGAGTTCAACAGACTTGCAAACAGGTGAAGAGCATTCATGTCTTACCTTTAGGGATGTCAGCTCATCTGCCCACATTTCTATTATTGGAATGAGATGTTCAAATCCACAGTCTTGCACAAGGTCTTTGTTGAAATTTGGGGCTCCTCCTTTGCTCTGCTTGTAAATTATTACTGGAGTTCTGGGGTTGTGAATAATGGAGTTGATGCTACACAGCACCTTTAAAAGACACAGTGTTTCCTGTCAAAACACTTATCCCGGCCTGAGAGATGCAGGCCGTGCTGTAGGTACTAAATTACTAATCTCAGGTATTAATAACTGGGTGTGATGGTGCATGCCTGTAATCCCAGGAGTCAAGTGGCTGGGGCAGGATTGTGAGTTCAGAGCCAGCCTGCGCTACACAGTGACACCCTGTCCCAACAGAAAAGGGCATTCAAGGAGACGGACGCTTGCCATGCTGTGGTAAACCTTGTTAACATGGTTCAACAGTTCCAATGAGATCCAAGAAATCAGTAGCTTAGGTGGTAGAGTGCCAGCCAATAAGCAGGATCATCAGATACTGAGGAGAGTTCTGAGAAGATCCAGAACCTTCCAGAAAAACTAAAATCTATCTTAAAACCACCCACATAATATAGCGTAACCAGCTGGACATCCTTGGCTAGTCTCTCCATTTTCATTTCTGCCCCCTCACACTTAAGCTGAGTAGGGTATTAAGAGACCTTCAGGCGAGGGTCGGGGTACAGGAAGTCTAAAGAGAAGTCCCAGACACACCACGGTGTGCTGGTCTTGGCGAGAGACGCCTGGCTGTTAGAAGCGCACTGGGGAAGACGTATGAGACCACATAGGACCTACAGAAAAGCCTGCTGTTTGCTCCTCCCCCATAAAAGCTTACAACAAACAGGTCCTCTGAGAATGCAGCCTCTGGTGTTGGTTTTTTGTTTTGGTATAGCTTAGGAGAATGTGCTTGTTCAGTTCAGTTCTATTATATAATTCATCTACGAGTACTTTTTTTTTTTTTTGCTGGTCCTGAGGCTTGAGCTCAGGGCCTGGGCACTGTCCCCTGAGCTTGTTTTGCTCAAGGCTAGCACTCTACCACTTGAGCCACAACACCACTTCTGGCTTTTTTGTGTATGTGGTACTAAGGAATCAAACCCAGAGCTTCATGCATGCTAGGCAAGCACTCTACCACCGAGCCACCTTCCCAGCCATGGAATACTATTTCAATTGAGAAAATAACTAATGCTCTTCCGGTAAATGAACAGTGAGGAGACCGCGCTCTTCCTGGGTGGGCTCTATCTGCATGCGTTAGCACCCAGGCACTAGTGCTAGGACACACCTACACGAACCAGATCACGCCCTGGCTCAGTCTGCTCACCACCTCCAGCCCTTTCCTGCAATTCTGGGCAAGCCAAGGCCAGCGCAGGACCTGGAGAAATGAGGGAGCCAAGAGGGAGCTGAGCACCCCTCCAGGCACAGTGCTCGAAGAGAAGCAGGCTGAGCTAAGGCAGAGGACACAGCAGGAGGGAGAAGCTGGGGACCGGATGAGGCCGGGACGTCTTCCCGGCTTTTGAATGTGCTTTCTTCCAACTTCTTATTATGAAAGCTTTCAAAGGAACAGAAAGGGGGCCCTGTTTGAGCATTCTTCAGAGAAACAGAACCAACAGAAAAATGTGTGCAGCTATGTGGCTGGCTTTATCTTGGCAGAATCATGTTTAACCCAGGATCCCGACACAGTGAGCCCTATCAGGCAGATTCGCAAGACTGATGGTCAGGAGCTCCTTGTGGTCAATACTAGATCCAGCAGCTCACATCTGGCCATATTTGCTTGCTCTATCTATACTTTTAGTTGAACTATTTAAAGAAATACAGACATCATGGTTCTTTTAAATTTTTTTTTATTTCTTTTTTTTTGAGTCAAGAGTCTTGCTATGCATTTCAAGCTGGTCTTGAGCTCACTGAGTCACCCAGGCTGGCCTTGAACTCATATGATTCTCCTGCCTCTATCTCCCAAGTGCTGGGATACAGATGTGTGCCTCTGTGCCTCGAAACACCGAGACTTTACCCTCAAATAGCACATCTCTCCTAAAAGCAGGGCTAACCAAGTCTATAAACTCACAATACCACATGGCCAAGTCTATAACCTCATAATACTCATATGGCTAGTAACTCTCTAATATTGATCCCCAACTGAATTTTAAGTATCTTACTGTGTATGCTAATGTGTGACCACAGCCCACATATGTTGAGTTCTCTATTGTATATCATCGAAAGACAAGCAAAAGAACCCCAAACAGCATGTTTAAAAAGCAAAGCATAAGACCTACCCATTTCTCAATGTCCAGTGTTTTGTTTAAAAAGTACAAAGACCACATTTTCCTCTGCAATTGTTCTTCAAGCTACAACTACCATCTGAGCCATACCCACAAACCTTTGTCTTTTTTTTCTTGGGATAGGAACATGATTTCTGCCTGGGCTGGCTTGCCCGAGATCATCCTGTTTAAGCTCCTAGCATCGCTGGAGTGGCAGGCATGTACCACTGTACTCTATTTTTTCTGTTGAAATGGCGGGGAGGGGAGCAGGTATTCTCAGAAACATTTTGCTTGGGCTGACCTCAAACTTCAACCCTCCAGATCTCAGTCTCCCAAGTAGCCAGGATTATAGGCATGAGCCTACTGCACCCAGATCATAATTCATAAAGTTAATACAACTTAAGTTTATCTCAATAGGATTTTTTTAACTTGAAAAATTATTTCATGTGTTTTAAGAACATGGCCAAGAAAAATGTGAAAATACTGGTTTCAAAGGGTATCAAAACCTACAATAAAACAGAGCTTAGAACAAATATAGAAGAATCTAGGAATACATTTATACATACAGAGAAACATGACCGAAGGGTCTTCAGCCCCATAGACAAAAAATGGGAAGGTGGCTCAGTGGTAGAGCGCTTGCCTTGCATGCCTGAGGCCCTGGGTTCGATTCCTCAGCACCATATAAGCAAAAAGAAAAAAGCCAGGAGTGGCGCTATGGCTAAAGTGGTAGAGCGCTCACCTTGAGCTGAAGAGCTGAGGGACAGCGCCCAGGCCCAGAGTTCAGGCCCCATGACCAGACCGTCCAAAAAAAAAAAAAAGTGTTCATCAAGAGACTACAATTCCCATACACAGAGGAACCAGGCATGGGGGAATAAGATGGGATTGGGGCATAACTAGCTGAGTACTCAGGCTATCCCTGGGAAAGACTAACTGCTGATCAAGAACACACAGGAAATAAGGGAGCCAGAGATGAAGACTTAAGTAAAATCTCTTTATGTTTCAGATATTAGTAAGTAATTCAACAGTTAAAAACCCTAGGTAAGCCAGGTACTGGTGGCTCATGCCTGTAACCCTAGCTACTCAGGAGGCTGAGATCTGAGGATTGCGGTTCAAAGCCAGCCGAGGCAGGAAAGTCCATGAGACTCTTATCTCCAATAAGCCCCTCAAAAACCTGAAGGGGTGCTGTGGCTCAAAGTGGTAGAGTACTAGCCTTGAGCTGAAGAGCTCAGGGACAGTGCCCAGACCCAGAGGTCAAGCCCCATGACCGACAAAAAAAACAAACAAAAAAAACAAAAACCAAACACCCAAAGTGGTCCTTGGCTCAAGTGGTAGAGTGCTCGCCTTGAGCTGAAGAGCTCAGGGACAGTGCCCAGGCCCAGAGTTCAAGCCCAGGACTGGCAAAAAATAAAAATAATAATGGACAGGCATTTCCTAGTCATTATTCCTCAAACGATACCTTCCAGCTGCTTACAGTGCACTTCCCTTGCACTAGGTCCTACGAGTACTGGCAGGTGACATGTAAATATCACCTCTATTATATACAAACACTATGGCATTTTTAGGTGGGCTTTTGTAGAGTGTGGTGTCCTGAAACCGATTCCCCCCAGATGCCACGGGCCGGCAGCACAAATGTTCCTTACCACATAATGGTTTATTACACTGCCACAGAAAGCAAGGTCCTCACAACCACCATTCTTTACAGTAGCGATTCAATACCTGAAAGTATCTCTGGTCAACTAGGGCTGGTTGATGGTTTTCTTTGCTGGGCATATCTTTTCTTTCTGTGTCCTCAGTCTTTTTAGGACTGATAAGCTCTTGTAATCTAAAGAAGAGGGGGGAAAAGTCAAGATAATACAAGATGTTTTCTGAGACACTAGATTAAAATGGGCAACTCACTGAACCAGCTGGCCTCCTAAGGGTTTTGTATCATTTGACTTCTATACATGCAGGCTTTAAATGAGCATGCACACGCAGAAAATGCATGTCATATTGTCCTCCCAACAGACCTCAAATCAAAAGGCATCCCTGAACACAGAAGGGACCAGACTGAAGAAGAAAACTCCAATCACCCTCCAAAACAACAGCATAGGGAAGAACTACAGTAGAAGAGGGGCATGGGCTCCAGGCTCAGTATACCAAAGCCACACTCTGCAGTGGCAGGACCTGGATTGGGTACCAGAGCAGCCATATCCACACAGCTTGGCCTCGCTTTTCATTTTCTACTTGTGGCAAAGGAGACTACAGTGACCTGTGGGCTGTCAGGAGAATACACAGACCCAGAGAACACTGTGCCATGGCTGTAAGGACTCAAAAGAAAGGACAGACCAGAAGCCTAGGACTGAATGCTCTCCTTCTCAAAACACCCCTGCAGACAGGCTGTGGAAATATCCTCCATTCCTCCTCAGACCTCCAAAGAGTCTCCAAATATTGTATAATTACCCCCTCTTCAATTTCAATGTCATCAGTTATCAGCTGGGACACCAACCCACTAAATGGACCCCATGACTTGTGAATGGATTCTGGCCTGACATTTGTAAAACAGACTAGTAAAATTCTATCGTGTCATGTTTAGCGGATCTGCACTGCTCATAGGGTCTGGCTGCATCAGGCTGGCTTCAGCCTCCTGAGACATCAGTAGTGGTATCCATCATCCAGGCTTCTTCCTGATTCACTTTTCACCCCAGTTACTATTCTTTTATGTTGTTGTTTTGTTTTTGTTGGTTGTGGGGCTTGAACTCTGGGCTTGGGCGCTGTCCCTGCGCTCTTCAGCTCAAGGCAAGCACTCTACTGCTGCTTGAGCCACAGCGCCACTTCCAGTTTTCTAGTGGTTTATTGGAGATAAGAGTCTCACAGACTTTCCTGCCTGGGCTGGCTTTTGAACCGTGATCCTCAGATCTCTGCCTCCTGAGTAGCTAGGATTACAGGCTACCCCAGTTACTATCGTAGGGCTCTGCACTGCCCTCAGTGACTGTTCTCTGCCCTCTGGCAAGTATATGACCACATCAAACCAGCTAGCAGAACTAAGCAGCCAGCCTCCTTCTTCCAGAGCTCACAATGCTTCTCTACTGGACTCCCTATCTACGTCCGTCATTTACAGAGTCTGTCTGGAAGCAGCACCATAAACGTATTATCTAGAATACAAAAACACACTGAGAAGCTAATATGGCTTTTAGAGAAAATACAAGCAAACAAGTGTATCTGAATTTAACTACCATTTAAACTTTTACTAGCCAGTCACTGGAATACACACCTATAATCCTAGTACTTGGGAGGCAGGGGCAGGAAGATCTCAAATTCAAGGTCAGCCTCAACACAGCAAGAGGACCTCTCAAAAAACAAATCTAGCTGGGCACTAGTGGCTCATGCCTGTAGTCCTAGCTACTCAGGAGGCCAAGATCTGAGGATCGAGGTTCAAAGCCAGGCCAGGCAGGAAAGGCTGGACTCTTACTGCCTCAGGGATAATCCAAACTCAAAGGGAAAGAGAAGAAACACTGGCAGAGGATGCCACAACCAAAATGGGACCCAGACACAGAAAGGGATGTGAAATTTTCTTAAAATAGGGTGAGAGGGCCCTGGCCTACACTCACAAAACTCTTCCCTCCCTCAGGCTGCAATGCTGCCAGGTTACCACTGTGTGGCAGTACAGCAACCTCTAGGCTGTACTGCCAGGGTGTCCTCAATTTTCTTTTGCATCTCTTGTTTGTATTGAAGGTCTGTTCTCAGACACTCCCCACCCTCTTACCCCTCCCTCCGCCCACTACCTCCCCCCCCCCATTCATCCCCTTCCCCTGAAAAACAAAACAAAAATCAGAAGCCTGTGGGCAGAGATTTTAGGCAGAAAGATGGTCACCCTGACAGCATCTGGCTGGTAATCACCTAGTGCCATGCCACAAGGGAAAAACAAAACAAAACAGAACCCAAAGAGCCAGCCCTGGTGGTCCTGTATCTTGCTTATGTTATGGCAGTGAGTGAACAAAAGTTGCTAATTTCAGTTTGGCTCACTTGCCCAATGGATGATTAGAAATCTGATTAAGGATCTGATTTCTACTCAAGTTCTTCTACTACCCCCCACATAGCAAGGGCAAGTGAACTTGTTTCTACATGTAGGTACTGAGAAATTTCCAAACTAAAAAAAAAAAAAGTTTTTTTTTTTTCAAAACTATAAAAACAGGCAGCAAGATATTTAAAGATGGTGTTCCAAAGCTAGCCGGAGCAGGAAAGTCTGAGGCTCTTAACTCCAGTTAACCACCATTTGAGCTGTGGCTCAAGTAGTAGAGCCATCAGCCTTGAGCAAAAAAGTTCAAGGAGTGTCCCAGACCCAAAGTTTAAGCCCCAGGACTGGCGCAATAAACAAAGAAACAAACAAAATGCTGGTAACAGATATATCTTGGATAAAATATAATTACTTAACACTTTTCTTAAGGGCCTTTTCCAATTTCTTCACCTGTTGTTTATAAAGTCTTAATTCATGCTGTGTTGGCCTGTAGGAAAAAAAAAATCATATGGAATGCAATTTAACTTTCTAAACAAAATGACAAATGGATTCAATAAACAAAACAGTGCTGTATTGTTTATTGTCATAAGCAAGCATACTGAAATTCTTAAAGTATTTCTGATGAAGTACTTATGGACATTTGGATCTTTCTTTTGTACAATTCCTATTTAAAAATTTTCTTTCACTTTTGTTGTTAATCTAGAACTTTTTTGTTGTTGTTGGTCGTGGGCTTGAACTCGGCCTGGGACACTATCCCTGAGCTCTTCAGCTCAAAGCGAGCGCTCTACCACTTGAGCCACAGCGCCACTTCTGGTTTTCTGGTGGTTCATTGGAGATAAGTCTCAGAGACTTTCCTGCCCTGGCTGGCTTTGAACCATGATCCTCAGATTTCAGCCTACTGAGTTGCTAGGATTACAGGCGTGAGCCACGGGAACCCGGCCAATCTAGCACTTTTTATCAAATATACAGATTGAATCACAGAGAATACTATACCAAACCTGGTGTATCTACCACCCAGCTTTATCAAGCTGGAATATTAGGGATCAAATCTTTGAAGACTAAGACCTCCCTCTACCTAAAACGCCACGTGTCCTTCCGTTACGTCATTCCCTGGCTCCTGTGCCACAGGGGGATAGTGTGCACTCTCTTCTACCTTGCCTTTTATTCCCAAGCACCTTCTTAGTCCTTCCTATGTATTCACACCAACAAACACACACTGTCCTACAGCAGCTCTGCAGACTTCTTATCAATGACCACAACAATGTTTAGCCTTCGACAGGGGTCAACTTTGTGTCTAATGGCTCATAGCCAGCAGGTGGCGCTGCCTTGCATTGCTTTGCTCGGGTATCTTTCTGCTGGTTCTAGATTTCTACTGATTCTCCTGAATTTGAGGAGAAACCCACTGATATGAGACAGTAAGTAACACAGTGGGCATTTTAAAACCATTAAGACAGTAAATTTTAAATGCTTTCACTATAAAAAAATTACCAGTATTTGAAGTCATTGGTCTGCTAATTAGCTTGTTACATTCATAAATCACATTATTTTATACCCACATATATATATATATACACACACATACAACATAACTTTACCAATACACATATATAAGAATATATGTAGTTGTATTCAAATATGTAAAATGTATGAGATATGCAAATACAACTATAATTTGTCAAGTTAAATTTCATAATTAAAAAATGCTAAGTTAAAAAAGGAAAACCTATAGGGTTGGGAAGGTAGCTCAGTGGTAGAGCACATGCCTTGCATGCCAGAGGCCCTGGGTTCAATTCCTCAGTACCACATAAGCAAAAAGAAAAAAGCCGGAAGTGGTGCTGTGGCTCAAGTGGTAGAGTGCTAGCCTTGAGCTGAAGAGCTGAGGGACAGCGCCCAGGCCCA